CCCCAAAACCCCAAAACCCCAAAACCCCAAAACCCCAGCATATGTTCATCAGATTGAATTTTTGTTACATAGAAATTATAGAGCGTAAAAATTGGTGATTCTAAAATTAAGGAACTAATTCTCACCTCTTGAGACTAGACTACTTGTCAAAGGGACTTAAAGCAAGTTTAAAGGAGTTATGAAAGTTCTAAACAGCAAAATAGCTCTTTCCGGTAGTACTCATCATAAATACCAACACAAGGCTTAAGTCTTGACTTAATACCTTCTTAGAGTCTTTCTGATATCCTATTGTTAGAGAAAAATGCTAACGATAACATGATGTTTCTAAGTTTACAGTTTATCTTTGAAGTAAATCTGTGGATATTTTCTGTGTTCCCAGCCAATCTTGAGCTTGTGTTGATTCTTTGTCAACATTCAATGATCGAAAAGGTATATTAAGAAATCAGAGTGTTCAAACTTAAGCTAAGTATGCAGGCAAAGAGCTTGCTATTAAATTTAGCTCAGTTTTTACTAAACTCTTAAAGTCTCAACCCAAATTTTCTTCCAAAATTTTAATAAGAGCAAAATGGAAAATTCAAATTTCTTTTGAAGTTTAGCACTAATTTAAAAATTAGGAAGGTCTCAAGACTGGCGGAGCATTGGGTGGGGAACTTGATTCATCTTGTCTATCTGGGTGACACTTCTTCATGTGGGACTATAAAAAGATTTATACAGCCAATTCTCGATAATCCATAAGGGCTGGCACTAAATATGCCCTTATCAATGAAATTGTATGCTAACCATTTCCCATTCAACGCAAATAAATTATGTGGTATACCAGCATAAAGTACGATGAGTATATTTCCCAGTAAAATTAGCATTAAATGTTATACTTAAAGAGGCTCGATAACTAGCTAAAATAGAGTCTAAAAATTCGATGAGAATGGCTTATACTATATTTCTTAACTTATTATTCACCATAATGTGTTCATATAATAGCAGGGATTTTAGATTCAGAATTTTAATTAGCAAAACTTCCTCAAATTCTGGTAGTAGAGATGAAAGAATAAAGAGTTGGAGAAATTTGATAGTACTACAAGTGTTATTTCAAATAACATATCGGTCTAAAATTTGCCAATTTGGTCAACTTACATGGAAATATGAGAGTAAAAATTATTAACGAAAAGGTTAGTGTCGATACAAGTTATGAAACAAGTTATAAATAACCATGATCTCTGTAAAAATTAGTAGGAAAATCATGTATTCATCATTAGATTCTTACCTTGAGGTTATATCTCTCTGTGTATCCTTTTGAGCAGTATCTGCAATTGTATCTCTTGCGGTCGTTGACATCTGGCCTGATGTGCTGTCTTACATGCTTCTTCAAGTTGCCTTTCTGGGTGAAGCGGTTACCACACCACTTGCACATATATGGCTTGACTCCTGCATGCATCCTGACGTGGTCTAGGAGGTTCCAGGGCTTCTGCATGACTTTGTCACAACCAGGCTCTCCGCATTTATACAGAGGCACTTCACGTTGCTTCTTTGTATCGAAGTGGTACAGAGTCTGGTATTGGTACCCTTTGAGCAGTTCGAAGTAGATGTCTTCTTTGGTCATGGACTGCAAATCTAAGTTGCAGTTAGCAAGTTCAGGGTCGAGCAGTGGGATGGAACCATCTGTTTCATATTTAAGCTCACTTGGGAAATTTTGCATATACCCAGGTGGTCCAAACATACCAGTCAGTTTGGAAATGTCTCACATGCAATATATCTGATCTAGACCATTGTAACTAATTGGATTGTACAGAGAGAACATAATTTCTCCATAATTTGTAAAGTCAGAATTTAATTTTCCTTCACTTCTTTCTAAAATAAATTATTTAGCAAATGATAGGTAAGAGAACTTATTTTATCGAATTCTAAACTCAATGGATCAATAATTTATTCAGACAGGCTTTTATAGAAGTAGTACAAATAAGCCCATGATTATCGGAGATTAATCAGCCTCCTTTTATTTATGTGACAATGAAGCCACTAAATAGTTTAGAAAAAATTTGAGTTAAGAAATTAATTAGAAACTTTGGCAGTTTTCTTATATTTGAGAAATAATAATATTAGTAACGCAATCAAACCCGAACAGTATTTTGTCAGATTTTCTTAAAAAATTAATCAGCTAGCTAGGACTCTAAAAATCATAACCATGCTTGCTAAAAATTACTTGTAACACTCCAAGGCTATCCTCCCTAATAGAGTACGCTTAGGCTCTTCTTTAACAATTGATTTTGAAAAATTCTATTAGAAGCTGAGACTTGGCAATTCCTGTTCTTAACTTCCCTCACTCTTATTTCCCCTCATAAAAATTCTGATCTTAATACCAAGCCTGAGCCACACTCTCTATCTTACCTTGAGGAATTTTGGGATGAAGATATTGAGTATCCATTTATATTTAGTTGTTTTTGCAATAAAATATTTCGAATAAGGGGTTTTGGGGTTTTGGGGTTTTGGGG